TTCCCTGTGGGTTCTCCTGCTTCGGGGTGAGGTGCTGTGCCCGAGCCCCTCCAGGTGTACCTCGGTGGGTGCTGTTGGCCGCCACATGCCTGAGCAGTGTTGGAGCCGGTCTGGAGCTCAGGTTTGCTGGCGTTCCCAAAGGATCTTGTCTCTCTCTGTGGTGGCTTTGGAAGTCTCAGCTGAAAAGTGTTTGTGGCCGTGACAATGCTGGTGAAAAGCAGCTTTTGCACTCTACCTGTGGTGCTTTCAGTTTGAGGTAGATCTGTACCAAAATGAGTCAGCCTGCCAGACTCCCCTGGACCGGCAGTACCATGAGGAGATCCTGAAACTGGAGAAGGCTGGAGGTCGGAAGAACTATCGTATCTTCACCTACACTGATCATGACCGATTCACCAACCTGGAGGAGGTACCAGCTCTCAGTTACACATAATCTATACAGCAGTGACTGTCAAAACCACCAGGCCTGCTGCAGAAGGAACCTTTGCCAGTTCTCAGCCATGCAGAAGCAAGCTAGTTATATGTGGGAGATCATACTGCTTCTGCACAGCAGCTTCACCTGATGCCCCAGACCTGGGATGAGATCTCTCTGTTTCAGAACAATAGTCAGGGGCAGCTTGGAGGGACTTGGCTTTGTAGCGTTGCTCTGTAGGTAACTTGCTGGTTAGAGTTTAGCTGTACTTTGCCACAAGAACAGCGAATGAAATCTACAGTCTTTTAGGAGTTAGTCCTTGCATATGGGTGCATACGTACCTGTTCTCACCTCCAAGAGTGCAGCTATGTTTGGGAAAGATGTCCTGTTATAATTAAGCTAGTTCCTGTTGGTTTCTTTCTTGCAGCACTGCCAGAAGGTAACTGATTCAGATCATGAGGTGCCATCGTATCTGGCAGAGAGGATGGCCAATGTGAGGAGAAGAAGACAAGACCGTAGGCCAATGTGAGTGCAAACTGGGGCTTGGAGCTTTCTAATGAAGGTTTCCTGGTGCTGATGCCCCAGCTGCGGAGCAGCCTGGTCCGTGGAAGTTGGTGGCTTGAGCTGTATCACACTTGGAATGTGGCAGTTTGACTCTTTGTCATGGGTGGTTTGGTGCTGCCTGTGCTGGGCTGCTGAGGTGAGCTGTGACTTGTGCTGTTCTGTTGTTGACAGAGAAGCAAGTTCTCTGAAGTCTAAAATCATCACCTGGGAACCCTCAGAAGAATTTATAAAGAACAATCATGTGATTAACACTCCTGTCCAGACCATGTACATCATGGGGGACTTGGGACCTTATGGGAAGTAAGTAAAATCCTGAAGTGATCTTAATTTCCCAGAAGGAAACCCATCTTCCCTCCTTACTCAAATCTCCTGTTCTTTCATTATTTAAGGGGAGAGAATTCGAAGAGCTCAGTAACTCAGGCTGCTATTTCTTTTTGCCTCTTTCCTCAGTTGGGAGGTAACTGAGTGTATCCCTCCAAGAGGCTTCTTAAGTTAATGTAGGAAAGTATGGGTGTGTTTGTTCCCTTCTGTACCCCCATGGGCCTTTACCAGCTCTGCTGTTCCAGAGCGAGAGAGTGTCTTTGTTCTCTATTTAGACTGTGGTTTTTGATGTCTTCCATTAGGCTTGGTCACAGGGAGTGTGAACATGTTCTTTGCACAATCAAGGTGGACGGCAATGGGGTCATCACAGTGAAGCCTGACTTTACCAGCACCAAAGGAGCCTACCGGTGAGTGGGACAGGGCTGGTACCTCTTGTGGGATTGATACAGAGGGCTGAAATGGCCGTTTCCTGGTCACCCTTCAGGCAGTGGGTCAGCACTTAAATTGAGGAATATTTTTTAGTTCTATAACAGAGATTTCTAAGACAAGATTATGGTGTACTTGTGCTTGGTATCACTGCATGTGTGATGTGTGGGGCTTTGGTGCCAGTGAAGTGGGGCTTTTGAATACAGCTTATGCATGTGCTGGACACAAGCAAGTCTCCCTTTTCGAGTTGTTGGTGCTGGCAGGCACTTGGGAATGAGGAGAGAGCCATTAATGCCTTTGCGTTACTGCACAGGCCTGGTTGAGGAGGGACTGCTCCATCAGGATGGCACAGTTGATGCTGTTGCTGCCTGTGCCTGTTCTCTGCGTAATGGGGGAGTTCTGCCCATCTGTTTTGGGGCTCTACAGGATCGAGCTGAATGGAGAGAAGCGAGAGGTGTGGAAATACACCATTGAGAATGCGTCTGTCCAAGTGCAGCCAGAGGAGGAGGAACGCGAGCAGCACGTGTTCAGAGATGTAAGGACCGGCTTCCACTGATCATGTTGACCACTTCTCCTGATTTGACAGAGGGAGCTCAGACCGTCACGTAGATGTAATTGTTAGTGCGGTAGAGACCTAAAGTTGACAAAATGAATGTCACTGGCAGTGAGTCTCATCATGCTCAGCAATCTGAGAATTCCAACAAATACTCCTCAACCGCTTCATTCCTTACTCTGGGTAGAGGCCTTGTCTGGTATTAGTTGTGTTGGCGTCTGATCTATGTAGTGATCTATGTAGTGAGAACTGATGCAAGAAACCACCTAAATTCATGCCTTTCTAGCGTCACCTGCCAATGGTTTTCATTCCCTTTTGAGCAGTGGGCAAACTCTTTCCTTGGTCTTCCTCTTGCTGCCTGTATACTTACTGAATGTAATGTCCCAGGGTATTTGGATCTCATTTGATGTCTTGATCTTTCTGAATTGCCTTTTTGGCTGTGGCAATTTATAAAGGTACTCAATGTTTTAGTTTTTCATTTGTACGTTTCCTTATCGGTTTTGTGCTCAACAAGGAAATCATGATTTCGCTACACTGATATCCCATCTGTTTATTTCATTGGAATAGCTTATGCCAGTGTTTTTAACATGCCATTTAAGATCTGATTCTTCAGAGCTTCTTTTTCCCTTAGATTGGCCTTTGATGGGGTCTTCTCTGAAGCTGAAGTTCCATGCAATGTTAGCAGTTATCATCTTTGTTCTATTAGATTCTTATGTTCTCTGTCTACCATAACAATAAAAAAACCCCTGTGTGCTAAGCCTGCCAACAATTTAAATTGGTTTTAAGTTATATCCATTTCAATATTTGCAATAAGTAAAAACATATGTAATCAAAAAGATACTTCTTCTAATCCGCTTGTTCCGTGTTTTCAGCTGTACGGTCGGCATAAGGAATACCTCAGTGGTCTCGTAGGCTCAGAATTTGAGACAGTAAGTACCAGCGTCACTCAGCGGGGACCTGGAACCCTGCTGCCTTTGGAGGCTGTTAACCTCGTTAGCTTGGCAGCTGTTTGTACCACAGTCTCCAAAGACTTTCATTCTGGGGGTGTGTGTGTAGGCAGCTTTTACCTTGTGGCTTCCAGCAGAAAATTGGGTCAAAAGGGACAGGTTGCAATGGAGGTGGGGCCTGCAGAGATCCATCCTGCATCTGTCAGACCAGCAGCAGAGCATGCTGGACGCTGCAGTCTCTGTGAGACTGCATGCATTGTCTGAAGGCCTTTGACTGTAATACTTTAAGATGAAAGGAGGGTATATATCTTTTTTGATAATGATTGCTGTTAACTTCTTGAATGTCAAACACATCTATGTTCCACTTTGTTCAGGTAAACAGCCTCTCCCACACCCAAACTCATGCACAGTTTCCCTTCTCACTGAATTATACAGACTGCAATCTTTTTTGCTCAAATTTTGTTTGCCAAAGTGTGAAAGTTGTTCTTTCATGTGCTTCGATAGAGTGTCTCACCGCGTCCTGTGCTTCTCCCCACTCCCCCCACCTTGGGCAAATGCAGGAACACTACAGGAGAAACAGGACTGAGATTTCTGCAAGTGACTTCTCACTACATTTTATATCCATTCTGAAGTCTGTAAGAGAGCGATTTACAGAATAGTAAATTCCTGCAGTCTAGGAATTTGGTCTCTCTGGAGAGCCTCTTTCCAGAGGGACTGTTCACTTCTGGAAAGTGATATGAGAAGTCATGACTCCTCTTGGCCAGCAGAGTGAATCAGTCATGTGCAAATGTCTGTGAAATATCTATGTGAGACTCTGTTGGGAGGGGATTGTATGAGGTTCCACCAGTAGTCATCTTGTTTGTCTGCTTGTTCTTACAGACTCTCCCTGGTACACTGCGACTTTTTGTGAATGGAGAAATAGGTGAGTCCTTATTATAAACAGTAACTATAGGGGCAAATCTGGGTCTGCTGGGATGGTTGAGGCTGTGAAGGGTCCAAGGATTCTTGGATCACTGGCCGGTCCAGAGTAGGTGATTCTCTCCCTACAACCCTTTATTTCCTCCTTCTCCTCCCCTGTTTTTATGGACTAGCCCTTTGAGTGGCATTTACATATTAGAGGTTACAAATACTGCAGCTGTTCTAGGAAGACATGCAGATCTGAAAAAAGGAGAGCAGATTGGGAAGTTAATAGAAATTATAGCAAAGCAAGCAATTAAATGTGTGACCTCCTTAATCTGGTTAGTGACATGGGGACAGGCTAGTCTAGAGAAGGAATCTTCTCTGAGGGTCATATTCTGTTACTTTGAAGACCCTGGCTTTTCCCAACTTCCAACACTTACTTAACTGGTTGTCCCTGAGGTTGTTGGTGCTGACTCTCCCAAAAGTCTACAGTGAGTACTGGAGGAGTTTGTGTGGAAGCAAGCAGATGAAGTTCATTCTCTCTTCTTCTCAGTTTCAGCTCAAGGCTATGAGTATGACAACCTCTATGTTCATTTCTTCGTGGAGCTGCCTAACCGTAAGTGTTCACATTTCCAGCCATATCACATCAGTTTAAGGAATGAAGCATGTTTTGGCTGGTCCATCAGATCAGCTCTGCTAAAAGTCAGTAAAAGTTAATGTCGGGGCTGGGATCTAGTCAGAGGTTCTTCAGAGCTAAAATTGCACAAGTCAATTGTTTGAACTAAACTCATGTCTGGGAGAAAGTAGCATCTTCCCCTCTCGTCTCTTCCAAATCAGGCTGGGACATAGAGGTCCATTGGCTTCTCAACCAGTGGTGCTGGTGTTGATTCCTTGTACTGCAGAGAATAGCCTTCCTGTCTTCCCCATCTCAGCAGTGACCTCATCTGATTTCAATGCTCATCATCCTGTTCTCATGTTTTGTGCTGACACTAACATATTAAATTTTGACTGGTAAATAAGGTTCCCAGCAGTAACATGCACATCCTGCAGCATCTTTAATTTCTCTGAAGCTATGGCTCTGGCTTTCCTCTCTGGTTATACCCCAATGTTTGTCTGAAGAGATACCGTTTTGCTACTCAGTACATTTAGATAAGGTTCTGTTTTTCTCTTAAGATGGAGTTGGTGCTTTTCATCGACAGTTCAGGGCGTTCTGGGGAGCAGCCATTGCCTGGAACAAGACAGGGTGGGACACACCTAGGGAAATTCAGTGTGGGTGATGTTATCTGTTATCCCAGTGATCTGGGACTGATGTTCTCCTTTGAGCTGCTCTGATTTGTGAGTCCTCCCTCTCACCCAAAGCACTCACCACTGTGCTCACAGTCTCCTCTTCCCCCAGAATGGTCGAGCCCCACGTTCCAGCAGCTATCAGGAGTGACCCAGACCTGTGCCACCAAGACAATCGGCTGGGTAAGGACACTTTCAGACCTGCAGAGCAGTTTGAATAGGCATTCTCTGAAGTGGAACATGTATAACAAGCTACAGATATATTCAGCAAAGGTCCTGACTTGAGAGCTCCTTTCAAGGGCAAAACATGTTTGGGATTCTCCTCATTCTAGTTACACTTGCCATTTTTCAGGGTGCCACTGTGTCCAGATAAAACTAGACCAAATAAAACAGCATCAAATCTGTTTCTGAAACCTTACTTTTTCTTTCTTGTGGCTGATTGATTGCCTTTGGAGCTTTGATTTTTGTGTTCTCAAACGCTCAAAGTTAACAAAGCATTGCTCTGGCTTGCCTGGGGC